ATAAATGAATGAATGAATGAATGAATAAATAAATAAATAAATAAATAAATAAATAAATAAATAAATAAATAAATAAATAAATAAATAAATAAATAAATAAATAAGATATCATCACTGCGGGGAGGGGGGGGCGATGATAACTTCCTCAATGGCTCAAGGGGGCGTTTCTTTCAAAAAGGTTAAGAACCACTGATCTAGGTGGTAACACTCCATGTTCCATAATTTTTGGGACATGGGGCATTACTACCTGGATCACCTGTGTTTTTTAAACTTATTTAACTTAAGCCACACCATTGTTTGACGCAGCTTTCTATAGATGAGAAAAAAGTGGAAGGAAGAAAAAATATGTTGCTGAGCATCTTACTGGAAAGACATTATCTGGGGCAGGGTTAGTGCAGGGAACATTGCTTACCAAGAACCTGTCAGAGAGGACTAGAAACCAAGATACTGCAACTAAATCAAAGTTCACTCCAATAAAGGCTGTTATTGGTTATACTAGCCACCCAGAGTTGATGGAGTTATAATTGGGGACCATTCACAAAGTGACACCAAGCAAGGGCCAATCCAGAAGCTGAATTTTTTCATCACTTCTCATCCAAACACAAAGCAATTGTCAGGGCTGTTTTTTGACAAGTACAAATGGTAGTGAGCATAAGAGGGTATCCTATTGACCAGAAATCCTTGATCAATGTTATTATTAGTTTTAAATATTATTTTTAGTTTTTAAAAAAGTAAAATAAAAAGATTAGAAAACTTCTTTCTAAAAAATATGGCACAGGTTTGGAATCAGAATAGGAGAAGCACAGAAGAATATTAAATTCCATGATTTCTCACATATTCCTGACTAAAGAGCTAGAGAACATTCCAGAGAATTTAAAAGCAAATTTGAAAACAATATTAAAAGGAAAAAAAATAGTAGATTAAAAGAGTGGATAGAGAAGAGGAACAGCAGAAAAAAATAAAGGAAAGAAGAAAGACTATCTTGGTTTAATTTGATTGAACTAGATGTATGGACAAAAGGATGGATTAAAAAATAGTGGCAAATGCAGAGTGGACAAATTTTGAAATAATAATCGAGAGAGAAAAGCAAGATGATACAACTGGAATGAAAGGGATTACTGTTATAATGTATAGATTATTGACTGAGGAAGATTAACGGAAGGCTCTAAAACAGTATGGAAAACAGGCTTGAGGAAGAAATAAGATAAGTATGGAGGAATATATAGGAAAAGTTATGAAAGAATATATCAGTAAGACATACAGGTACTTTTGTGTACTGTATACCACTTGTAACTTCTAAGAAGGATGCAGAAAGCAGTCTTTTTATGAACAAGACTGTACAGACACATATATTATTTGTATATTATATGCAAGTAATATATAAACATGTATATTACCTACTCTATATTTGCAGTAAACCAGTATTATCTCATTATAGGAAAAAGCTTTGTTTAAAAACCCATACTCAAAAGTTTACAGCAAACACATTAGTTTTTTTTTATAACACAAACCATATTATAATCCTTTTTCTGGCTTACTAAAATTACTGCTTGGCAGTTTCTTCTTGAACCACTGTAGCCTTGTCAGACTGGCCCAAGCATGTCTTCTCCCCACCTTGTAGCACCATGGTGATGAAAACAACACTGAAATACCCAGTTGCCTCAACATCCACAGAGACCGATCTACTTAAAGACAGAAACCTTTTCAGTTCTATACATAAACACATCTAAAGTTCCTTGGAGCATTCATAACCAAAACTGGAAGGTTCAGAACCCAAACTGTCTACATTCAAACAACAACAGTGACATCCCACCCTCAGATGTATTCTTGCCAAGAGACTTCGGAATCAGCACTAGGAAGCTAGTTTAGGGTAAGAAGCCTAGAGGCTCTTAAATGTTCAATCTCAGGATTTAACATGTTTTCTAGCTTCCCACATTTCTTAGACTGTGTCTTTTAAAAGAAACAGCCCTTTTGTATGAAACAACATGGATAGAAAAAAAATCAGTTTCAACAGGAGTTGTCAAATATAAGAAAATAGCTAAAATAATGTGTTAAAAGTCAAAGACCTTCAGAAAGTCTGGAAATTTCTAAAAACTTCCATAAGAGAATCCCAGAGCAAATGTTTTCTACAGGTTAAAACAAGCAGAAGTTTAAAAGGATGCCAGGATTGT